GATACGTACGGAATAGGAAAGTACGTCGACACTATAAAGGTCATATAGTGCAAGGATTACCATAAAACAGACAGTCAGAGATAACACTGATTAGTTTACTTTCAGTAAAGTTTTTACGGTGCTCGCAACTGCATAAGGTCATTTGAGCGCCAAGGGTTGATGTCAACAGAGAAGTCCAAAAGGGGAATCCAGCTTACTCTGCTCACCTCTCTAGCTTTCAACAGCACAGAGTCGGCTTTGATTATCAAGGCATCCTGGAAAAACTAGTTCACAAGAGAGTGACAACCATACAAAAGAAAATGACGTTTGTAAGGATGAAGAAAGAAAAAGGAGCAGTTCCCCCTATGTTGTTTCGGTACAGCATGAGCATAACATTGATAAATCAGCCAAGTTACAAGTGGAAGCAAGTTGGAATGTGACTAGGAATGGAGATTTTTTTTTTAATTGTATCTTTTGTTTCCATTTTTTTTTCTAGATTCTAGAAAGCTTTTTTGTTTTTAACTCTATTCCGATATTATAACAGAATCAGTAATGATACCTGCATTTAATTTTTGCTAGTGCATTTCGAGTTGAATGTGATCGCTTGTTGTGCTTGTCAACAACATGAACCCTTTTTTTGAGAGAAGGTCAGGCATTAACTTTACAAATCATCAGCGAGAAAGAAAGACATTCATAGAGAACAAGATAGAGGGGGAGAGATGGGCGGGAAGAGAGAGAGAGAGAGAGAGAGAGAGAGAGAGAGAGAGAGAGAGAGAGGGGGAGAATGATTGTGTGCTCCCATTATTGTACCTTAATTTTGTGTACCCAACCAGAGTAGAGATACGTTACAAAGAAAGGCCACATTCACCAAAGGGACTTAACTCTCGTAAGACTTCCTCCATCTGCCGACAGGTTTCTTTTCTGTTCACTGTTCGGAGGACAATTTCATGAACCACTTGTACAGAGAGTACAGCTGCAAACCATAAACAAAACCGATGACAGAGAAAGATATTTCTTATGGTGACTGCCTTTTAAAGTTTACTCTCATAGAGGTCTTATACACATTGTCTGCTCTCTCATCTCTTTACTGTAAATAGGCTGCTAGAATCATTAGAAAAGAATGTTTCAATGTTATGTTATTCTCACGAATCTCACCAGGGGCCTGGGGTGAAAATAGAAATATAATGAAGGCCTTTGTATAAATAAATGCCATTATTAGGAAGAGGCTAGATCTAGTCGTACTTAATGACGGCTGGACTGCTAGTGCTAGGCTACGGAAGTACGGCTAGATTTCTAGACTGGTTGGCAAGTACGGCTAGACAGCTGGGCTAGAATCTAGATTTAGATCTAGCCCTACTTTATATAATTTTTAGGCCACCTCTATTCTCACCCCAAATGAGAATAGCGCAGGCGAGCCTTTGCTTTTCTCACCCGGTGTGCGTTCACCGTGATAGCCTAGGCCTAAGCTAATCAGTGCTGCGTTCACCCTGAACCCCAAAGTTCTACACGGCCACGGTGATAACAGAATTGTAGCATTCTGTGCCGTGAACAATACTTTTATGATGCAGGGAGGGCCAGTTTAAATAGATTGAGTAAATATATTAGGCCACCTCTATTCTCACCCGGGATGAGAATAGTGCAGGCTAGTCTTTTGGCTATTCTCACCCGGTGCGCGTTCACTGTTATTATAGCCTCTAGATCTAGGCCAACAAATTTTGCGATCACCCTAAACCACAGAATTCTACACTGTGATAACAGAAAAATTGTAGAATTCTGTGCCGTGAACAAACGTTCCATTACAACTGTAGCCTACTAAAAGCGTACAATTTTGTATGTG